CGAGATACTTGATATGAATGACTGTGTACCTAAGAATTATGTAAAGTAAATTAACATAATATTTGCATTGAAAAACGTCAATGAAGATAATAAAATTCACATAAACCAAAAAGGCGTCATTGTGTAACCTAAGGCTAAACAGAATGTCCACATGGATAGAAACGCATTGTTACATTCACACATGTTTTAACTATAGATCACATTCATAAACAGAAACATGTTTAACACGATTTTAAAAAACTTGTGTGTTGTTTGCATGATATGTTTGATTGTTTACCTAAGAATTATGTAAAGTAAATTAACATAATATATATTCACATTGAAAAACGCCAATGGAGACAATAAAATTTACATAAACCAAAACAACGTCGTTATGTAATCTAGGACTAAACATAATGTCCACGTAGATAGAAACCCATTGTTACATTCATAGATGTTTCAACTATAGATCATATTCATAAACGGAAACAAGTTCAACACGATTTTGAAAAAAATTATGTGTTGTTTGCATAATATAATTGATTGTGTACCTAAGAATTATTCAAAGTAAATTAACATAATATTCACATTGAAAATCGCCAATGAAGACAATAATGTTCACATAAACCAAAACGGTGTAGATGTGTAACCTAGGGCTAAACAAAATGTCCATGTGGATAGAAATGTGTTGTTACATTCACAGACGGATTCATCAATTTGTTTCAACTATAGATCATATTCATAAACGGAAACAAGTTCAACACTATTTTGAAAAAACTTGTGTGTTGTTTGCATGATATGGTTGATTGTGTACTTAAGAATTATGTAACGCAAATTAACATAATATTCAAATTGAAAAACGCCATTGAAAACAATAAAATGCACATAAACCAAAACGGTGTCGCTGTGTAACCTATAAAATGTCCACGTGGATTCATCAATTTGTTTCAACTATAGATCATATTCATAAACAGAAACAAAAACAAGTTCAACACGATTTCGAAAATATCCAAGAAAAATGTCATGTAACCCCTCCAACCATATATCTCGGTAACCAAATCTAGCTTCTGCATCACGTTCGCATATTCACTATGCATAATTTCACAATTTATTGGTGGAGTCATGAGCTGAACCAAAATATGGAGTTGATTTAATTTTGGTATT